TTATTATTTATTATTATTTATTATTATTATTATTATTATTATTATTATTATTATTATTATTATTATAACTACAGTTATTATTATTAATAATAATAATAATTATAATTATTATTATTCAGGTTGCCGGTTTAATCTGATTGTTGTTCGCGAGAAAACTTACGAAAGTGTGAACTTGATTTTTATTTTTACACACCTTACGAAACCTATTCTTCAAATGTCCTTCTGTCCCTTTTGAAATCCCACCATGTTTTTTGGAAAATGTCGGTTTTGTAAGAAGCATGGAACTTTGTAGCCGATCCATTTGCTCTTCTAGCTATACTCTGTTGCAATAGTTCTGTACTTTCCTGCGGTCGCATACTACGTTCATATTCCCATATTTTATTTTCACTCAGTACGAACATGAGTACTCAGGAGCAACGAAGGGCGAACGCACATGGGTAGCCGGAACGACCATGCGCTTCGCGCGATTCCGTCCAGCAGACATTTGTTGTTAACAGTCGTCACTGCTTTACAATTCGCTGTGTGCGAAAATTATCGACACTTGTCTGGTTTCTAAGCTGCGAAATTTCCTACCAAAAATCTCACGTACTTATATTTGGAAAGTAGGCATACATGAGGGCCGTACTGAAATTTGTAAGACTGCACATCGACAGAAAAGACCCTCCGAGAATTTTAGCTAGCTTGCCTGAAATTTTCCACGTGAAATTCCCAGCAAAAACCTTCTAACTCCTCATGTGAGGCTCAAGCGCATGTGAAAGCTGAATTTGAAATCCCAGATTTGCATATTAACGGGAAGCATCACCCTAAATTTTCAGTTGTCTTGTCTGGCTTCCGAAGGAAAAAATTCCCCGTCAATACACTCATGCATCTGTGGTGCGAGGCCTAGACTAACTTTAAACTTATGTGGTCTCAAATGGGCAGGAAATTTTATTGCCAGTCTTCTATCCTATCCTGCTTTGAGTCAGAATTTCCCACCAAAATATTCAGACGTCTGTATACGATATCTAGGCATAAGCGAAGGAAAAATTAAAACTTGCACGGCCATACATGGGCAAGGAACATTCTAAAATTTCGGCTTTCTAACTTTTCTGGTTCTTGAGTTGAAAAACCGGGACAAAACGCGCACACACATGCATAACACACGCGCAGGCACATACATAAATACACACTCTCGCGGACACATGCGCAATAGATGCGACCTTTGGGGTTTGCAAAAAAAAACATGTAAACGACGCAAAAATATTGGCCGAGGTCGCAATTAGGCTCGAAACTTTTGCTCTGAATGTGCTTTGCTCAAACGCAACATCAAGAAAATCCTGGCACGGGGAAGACAGTGCGCTACCCTCAGTGAGTGATGCCCCCTTCGCTTGTCCATTTAACATTATCAAACGATTTACTGAACTAAGTAAACAATAACGTATCAGTGAGGAAAACCGATTTTAAAACCATCATGCATGCGCCGCTAAAAGGAGTTTCCAGAGGAACAGTCCTGGCACCAAAAGCACTGTCAGCCTCATGCTAGGATGATGAATTTGAATCCGACTTCCTGAAAGCAAGTCCCTACGCGTAACAGGAATTGCTTCCAACAATACGCTTAGTCTCACTAAGTGGCCTCTGTACAAATACCAGGTCCTGTCAGCCATTTTCACGCATCGGTAATACCTGTACCTCATACTTACACAATTAAAACTCAACCATCATATGCAGCTCTTGGAAAAAGTCGATCCCTGAACGAATGATATATAAAATTTAACAATAATTACAAGCCACGAAGAATAAAATAAAGGTTCCTGAGGACTGCTTCGGTAACGCAGAAGTCACTGAGATCTACAGTAAAACAGAGGCGCTCCCAGGCAATAAAATGAGGCAACACCAATTTGTCGCCGCTTCCCCACACCATTTCAGTGACCATATCAGATTTCAAACCTCACCGAGAAATGACAAAAGGGAATTTCATAATTGAGCATTGTCATTTTTCCGGACGCCAAGGATGAACTACTGAATCCATCACTAGTTTGTTCTTCGCAATTAACAAAATTCCTCACTGTAAGCCCAAATGAAATTCTGCAGATTTTTCATCAGAAATGCATGCGAGCACACAGTGGATAACTGCCTTCCAACATTATTTCTGACATTTCAGATTTCTTCCCAAGAAACAGCCTACATAGCGGAGGTACCGGGAATGATAGAGAGTTGCAAATCAGCGATCTCAAAAAAAAAAAAAAGAAAATTACTCGTCTAAGGATAAGAAAACTCCAGACTTTCGCACAAAAACTCGAAGCGGATTTAATTCCAGGAGACTAAACAAAAAATGATCTGCGGATCTCTGCAAAAATTATTCTGTTTTTTCTGTCTCGCCAGTACGAAAGCTATGTCTGGAAATTTTGGTACTTCCAATTTTAAAGCCATCTGGAGACGGATATTTTCAGAAACAATTCCAAACAATCAATCAACATCAACTGAACTTAACGCTCACCAGTCCACAATCTTAATACCAAACAGAT